AGACACGTTGAATGAATCGGTGGTGGGTGGGTTGATGGGTATATGAAAAAGGACAGGCTGCCGAAAGGCTAAGCTCCCCAACACTTTCTTCGCAGTGAGACTACCTGGGTCCCAGTCGCAGGCGCTCGCACATGCCCCCCCCAACCTGCACCCTCGTTCGTTGTCGTGTTGGGTTCAGACACCGGGAGACAGAGTTTGAGATTTGACGAAGTCTGCGGGGGTATGTGACTTGCTTTGCCTTTGGTCGGCACTGCTCCCTTCAGGATCACAAGTGAGGCCTTCCAGACCAAGTTTGGTGAGCCCAATTGGCTGCCGGCAGGTTCTAGGGTCCCGGCAGTCGAATATCGAAGAAGCTGGAACTGAGCGTCACCTGGATACGAGTTGACTGCCGTGTCCGTTGCCGCCTATGCAAAGCGTCCTGCTACTGGAGCATACTGGAGCCAGCTGACTCGACACAGTAGGACCACAGGATATGGCAAGTGATAGTGAGTTCCTGTGTTTTGAGGCGGCAGAACCGTCAAGCATAGTGGTCTTGGATCTGATGCCGCCGAGCTCAAGCGTGAAGAGGGCGGTAGTGGATGGTGTTCATGATTCTTGCGATCATTGCCGGGCACTTGGAGAGTCTCGGACTGAATGCCTCACTGTCATGCCTTCCAAACCGGACACGAGTTCGCTGGAGCTTCTTGCCAAATCATGAAGTGAGGTCAGCTAATCCTGCACCGTTATGCGTTTGCCCGCTCGGCCGCCGCCGCTTTAAGGCTTCGGGGTGGATTTTATTAGCTCAGAGGGCCAAAGACTATGGTCAGCATCACATGCCCCAACCCACATTCGGCATTGCAACGAGAGAAAACGAGCGTCTACGGGACTGTAGAACGGCAACCGAAGACGGTGAGATTTGAGGTTTGGTGTTTTGGTGCTTTACATCGGTGGATTCTTGCCGCCTCGCTGAGCGATGACGGGCTGGAATTGACTGCTGGGCCAGGCGCGCATCACGAGTTTTGAAAGGCCGCTCATTGTGCCGGGAATCGAGAACCGCTAATTCACTTCGCCATCTTGGCAATCTTGCTCGCGAGACAGGGCAAGATTGCACGTCGTTGTGGTAATCTTGGTCGTCTTGGTAATATTGCTTGGTGAGGTTTCTTGGGTCTGGAGAAACAGGGCGTCATCTTAGTAATCTTGGACAATTTGCACCATTTGCTGACCAAGATTACCAAGAGTACCAACCCCCCCACAACCCCAAAATCCAGCGTTCAGGCTGGGGTACAGTTCGGTACTCACAAACAGAACGTTGTTGAAACCCCCCCACCCCACCTAACCACCCTTGTGTACTCGAGACTTGTTTATGAAACAGAGTGTTCTAAATTATAAGGTGTTATTCAAGCTCCCCGCGACCTAATCCCTCTTTCACGCAAACGACATCACCGACAACGTCCAGGACGAAAACGCGCAAAATGCCGACAACGGCAAAGACGTAAAACGCGCAAAATGCGCGACACACGAGCAACGAAAATGTGGCTTCACGAAGTGAGGAAAACATCATCCCACGTTTTTTAACTTACGAAGAAGTCGCAACCACAAATTTGCGACAAAATCTGACGTCAGATTCCGTGCAAAACACAGAGAGCGGAAAGCAGACATAATCGTCGGCCATGCAGAGTGGAACATATGCAAAGGCGAAAACCTCGCACTTGGACGGTGGTTTCCATGCCATAGGGGGATTGTGGTGAGCGAGAGGGGAACGCAAAGGCATGCAAACAAGGGTAAAAGCCACCCCGGCAACTGAACCTATTTGCAGGGTTTAGGGGTTTGGGTTTTGGGATGGTTTTGGGTAGCGGTGTTCTTGGATGGGCTCGCCATGCGAAGCGACCCTGCTACCGCACAGGATGAAGAAGGCTCGATTGTCGGCTATGATGCATTCCTCAGGCGTCTCGCAGTCCGTAGAAGTGCCGGCTTTGTGCAGATGTTTGCAGCTTGGTCGTCAGGTCCTTTGTTATTGTGGACACGACGGATGGGACTGTGATCAAGTCGTTTCACTGAGTCAGCTGAGCGCAAGCATGGGGGCGAGCTCTATGCTCAAGGTCCCTCAGATACTCCGACCTGTGTGATACACACAGTTGAGCCCACACTCGTACAACATTCCTTGCCTTTGCTTTGTCCTTTGCTTGCGTTGCCACAACGCGGCACTTTGCTGACAGAAGCCACAAAATCAACAAGATAATGGTTTCTTGACGTCTCACAAAGCGCGATGTGTTCTGTGCCACGAAGTGGCATTTCGCGGCTGCAGAGGACGCACAGTTCTCTCAAACTCGGAAGAAAATCTCTGCAGGACTCCTGCTGGCCACGGCCACAGTCTGCCTCGGATGTGATCTGATATGGAGTTGATATGGCTTGACTGTTGACATCTTGTTCTCCGAAGCCGTCCATCGTCACCACGTCAGCGGGCAGCAGAGCAAAGGCAGTTGCCCTCGGCCTTTGTCATGATGAGCCTGCGCTGCATTCGAATTACTTTCAGGTGTAGTACAGTGCCGCCAACCGCAGTCAACCTGTATGCCGTGTAGACCCAGGTACCAACAGTCCCCCATGCTGCTCGACGATCCTGCTACGCGGGCTTCGATGGTGTCTCTGTCGGAGGCAAACCGGTGAGCTTGCTGTGCCTCCAAAGGAATAACCTAGTATTGCAGACTGCAGAAAGTTGACAAATCAAATCGCTTATGCTGCGTTTGCTTGCCCTCGCGAGGGTGGTTCAGATTCTTTCAAGCGCAAGTGCAAGATTATCTGCACCATGGGTCCTTGCTGCTGGGACGTTCCCATGCTTGTGCTCCTCGGCAAGAGCCATGGTCACTGCAGCTGGATGCATCTGCAGCGACTTGGGACACAGTTGCCCGTTGCACCTGGGACCGAGGAAGCTCATTGACGAAGGTCTGAACATCGCCAGGTTGAACTTCTCTCACGGAGATCACGAGGTGCAACAGCGAGAGCCTTGTACGTGTCGTCTTCGCAGTCCTGGCCAGGGCCACGGCGCAACCGTCGGGCGAGTCCGCGAGGCCTCCAAGCAGCGACCGGACAAGCCTGTGGCGAGACTTGGCTGAGAGGATACTGCAGGAGCTGTGGCTGCACGGAGCGCGTTGTGTGGTGCAGATTGACCAGGATCTTGCTCGACACCAAGGGCCCGGAAATCCGAACGGGCTTCTTCAAGGATTTGACGGTAGGATTTCTCGTGCGTGCAGGTCTTGCTCGCAACTGTCAGGGAGACCCCACTGCTGTCAGCGACGATCCACGACAGCCAAACAACTAGCAAAGAAGCATTGCATTCCGTCATCCTGCTCATTGCAGTTGTCTCCAGACTTCTGAGCTTGGGACGTCCTCTGGCGAAGCACAGGCAAAACCGGCAAACCATACAAAACATACCTCCCGCAACGAAAAGACGGACGTCGGATGATGCCGATAAAGGCCGCCCCAAGGACCTCACATATGCAGGATGCACTCTCAGTTCGAAAGAGTCGAAAGCGTGAAACTCCAGCACAAGGAAGGGACAGTGGCTTGTGGTGCACCAAAGACTGCGAGAAACGAAGCCTTCGCGGCTTTGAGTCAGGGCAGGACGATGCTGGCCCTTCCAGCGGAGTGTTAAGACCACCCTGCCACGGCCCACCCGGAGCTCAAGTGGCTCCGCTCCAGCCCGGTTGTGTCGTGGCTCAAGGTGAGTCAAGAAAGGCACAATACGAAGCAGGATGTTGCTTTTTAGTTTTACTGCAGCTCAAAATTTCGAGCACCTCTACGATTGGTCTCGATGTTCAGGTTTATTTCCAGCATTGCCAAGGATTTTGCCGTTTTCATGGAGTGCTCGAAGTGTTTTTTCTTGTGGCAGGTTTCCTGCCAAGGGTCTGGTTGGGGCTGGCAGGGCGGATGGAAGTTTGGCAAAACACTTGGTGATATGGAGCATGCCAGAAGGGCCGCTGCTGAGCAATATTTGGAGGAGAGCTTGGCCGGCGGAAAGATTTCGTTGAAAGCTGGACAAGATCTGAAACTCGTGAGCGACTACGACTTCAAGGTGAGATGCAAATTGCGAGTTGTCGGCTTCATACTTTTTGCCACACTTCTTCACGCTGTTGACTTGAGTCGCTGTCTGGGAAGGGTGACGAGACTTGCATCGCTTGCAGCTACAAGACCTTGCCAACGGCAGCAGCTGGACTGCACACATCCCAAACCTCAGCTTGTCAAACCTCTTCTTGCAAGCAAGTGCGCGGCTAGGTCAAGCCCGGGCAAATTATTCTCGCTGCGGACGGATCTTTGTCATTGAAGGTGAAGAGTACGGGCTCTGATCATGTCGTCACCGAGGCCATCTGCTTTTGAAGCTTTCGTTGAAACAGAAGCAGCACGGTAGACCTGTCGCAGGTTTTGAACGACATCGCCATTGGCGAGAAGAAGAACATGCTGCTTGAGTCGCAAGTAAGCACAACAGAGCAGGGACGTGCGTCGTTCTGTAGTTTGGGGGTAACTTGGATTTGCCTTTGCGGGGCTCCGAACTTCCAGTTGCCGCTCTCGCTTTCATTGTTGAAGTTATGATCTGAAGTCTCTGCAATGCTCTCAGGAATCTGCCTGGTGTGAAGGTCGAGCTGCCAGTGCTTCAGGACCGAGTGGCACTTTGTTTCTGCCGTCATTGCATCTCCCAGAGACGGATTGGACGGTCGAGGGTCCGTCGAACAGAGGCAGGCAGGGTTCACCATTCCTGGAATAGTTGTGGGTTCCTACCCAACTCTGTTCAGATCATAGTCTTCGATTTTTGCTAGCTGCCAGAAGCAAGTCTATCCTTGCAGCATGTTTTCAATTGCTTTCAGCTGTCATCCAGGAGAAGGATAAGAAGGACCTCATCGAGTTTGGCGTGCCGCAAGGCGTCGACTTTGTTGCAGCATCTTTCGTTCAGGACTGCGCTTGCACGGAAACACACGCACGAGAACTGATGGTTCAAAATCACGGATGATGGATGCGAAGGATGCGGGGGATGTCAAGCTTATCCGGGACACCCTTGGAATGCGCGGGCGTTCGGTCAAGATCATCTCGAAGATTGAGACACCTAGTTTGCAGAGCAGCAGGATGTGAGGGTGCATACGCGTGGGGAGCGATTCCTTGAAAGGCTTCCCCCAGTCACGGACTTTGAAGGAGTGTCAGGGAGTTGTGGGGATTCAGGAAATTCGGGCAGTTCTCTAGCATTTGTTGCAGGGAGTGACATGTACGATAGCCGCAAGTGACTTGCCGTGGCTCGAGATCTCCAAGAAGGTTTTCCCCGAGCTCTCTTCTATAATCGCCTCACTCGTGGAGATGGCACCTGTGGCGAGATCCGCCGCGCGTTGCGGCAGCTGTGGTCTTGAACGCCTCAACAGCGTGATGGACGACGCTCGCGTCTTCCTCCGCTAGGCTGGGCTTCATCCGCCGAGTTTTGGGTTGGGGGCACCGGATTCGATGAGAATCGAAGCTCACGATCAAGCCTTGGCCCGCCCAAGAAAAAGCAGCCTCCGAGTACTTCGCCGTCGCTCTCCAAGGCGAACCCCAAGGTGGCGAAGTCTACTAGTTTCTACCAACGTGACGGGCAGCCCCACCCCGCCGTGCCAGCCAAGGCTATGCCGAAGTTCGGGCAGCTCGAATGGTCCCAGCTGCCCCTGCCAAGTGTGGCTGCTCGCCAGGGACATCAGGGACTACATCGGCTACTACCAGTACCACCGCAGCAGCACGTGCGCACGCTCCGTTGCACCTTTTTCACAGCTGCCAAGGTTGTGACATGTTGTGACGTGAAAGCTCAGCCGAAGCCCATGCCGACTGCAGTAGACGTGACGGTGGAGTTCTTGGACCAGGTGGTGCCCGAACTGGGAGGACGTGATGTAGGTCCTATAGGGGCCCTCCGTTCGAAGGGGTTCACGAGTTTGGTGTATTTCGAAACTGTGTTCCCGCCACAGTGCCGTGGTGTGCTGTGTGTGTTTTCGGGCTTGCATCGTCTCCAAAGTGCCGTGCCTTTCCGCCTGCCGAAATCGTGTTCCCACGAACTGCTGTACGCATTTTGGGTGTTCGTCCAATGCCGACGGAGCATCGCCACTTGCTGGGAAGCTCGATGAAACTTGTTGAAGGCATTGTCCCTGCCGAGTGCTTGGAAGTGCTTGGACCCAATTTAAGATGGCCTCCCATCCAAATGGACCTATGCTTAACATGAGTGCAGCATCGAGGCTTTTGAGAAGCCCGGGATGGAAGCCTGCTATCGTCATCTGACTGAAGCAAAGCATGCCTATGAGCCTATGATGGTAGCTTAGGTTGCAGGCCATCGATTAGCCTCATCAAAATGTCGCGGCATGTTGCAGAACTATGATGCACCAAGCACCAGGTGAAAATATCCGCGGTGTGAAAGCATCCAACACTATTCGCGGCCTTCACCACAAGATTTTCAAGGCAAACGCCCGACGGCCGTGCTGCCACCAGCTCTCGAGCCCGCATGATCCTACGACTGCATGGCGCATAGATTTAGATGAAGACAGCTTACGAGCTCGGGACGACCCAGCTGTGGAGCCGTCCAAAAGGGCTGGAAGGCGCCCAGACGACACAAGACAACGACCGAGACGAAAATGCATGAACTTGCCAGTCAGGAAGTCGGGCTGCCTTTTCACTATGCAACAAACGCTGTGACAATGATATTATATGCGATGGTTCTTGACAGAATGTCGTGTCTTCTGTTGTGTCTTCTAAGGAATCAGGAAGGCATCAACAACATCGATGAAATCATCGCTGCGAGCGATGGAATCATGGTGGCTCGCGGTGACATGGGCATGGAAATCGATATCGAGAAGGTTTCTGAGACTGCAGTTTCTGAAGGGAGAGCGAGCGCTCTGGGCTCAATATGTTCGCTAGGTTGCGTCCGCTGATGGGCACAGATTCTAGATTCTAGATATTGCAGACTTGCCAGATTGCCAGAGAAAGCCATCTTGGACCGTTGTCGTCTGAAGACCTGGAATCAAGCGAAGACCACGCCGCCACGAATTATACTCTCCAATCGCAGAATGGCGCGCAAGCTTGGCGTAAACACGTCAGCAATTCTTGCCCGATGGCAGAGGCAGTTTGCAGTCGGGTAATAGCAAAGGGAAGCAACAGATTCAGAATGAAGGGCTGGAGTGACGACCGAAATGTTGCACAAAGCCATCTGTTGATGAAGTAAGACGATCACTTGGACATGTGCACGTCATGTTCATGAAGCTCTTGCTTTGAGCTTTCAATAGTTGAGGTTGGCCTCGTCCAGAAGATGATCATCATGAAGCCAGTTCCTGAGATGCCGAGTCCCAGTCGCTGCTACCATTTGCGACTCCATGCTACTAGAATCCTTATCTTGTCTCTCAGGTGTAATGCAGCTGGAAAATTTGTTGTCACAGCTACACAGATGCTGGACTCAATGGAGCGTGCCCCTCGTCCAACACGCGCGGAAGCGACCGATGTTCTCAATGCAGTCCTGGACGGAACAGATGTCGTGATGCTTTCCGGCGAGACGGCCAACGGCAAGTTCCCTGAAGCAGCTGTTGCGACCATGCGAAGAATTTGCGAACAGGCAGAATCGACGCTGGACTACAAGTCCCTATACCTCAACATGCGACAGCTTGTCCTGAAGCAGAATATGGGAATGTCCGCAGTGGAGTCTGTCTGCTCCTCTGCAGTCAAGGCATGCGTCGACTCCAAATGCCCACTTATCATTGCCCTCAGTGAGACTGGAACAACGGCAAGGTTGATTGCTAAGTACCGCCGCAATCTCAGTGGACCCGGCCTAAACAGCTTGCTTTTGCTGGTAAATGATGCCCGGACTGAGGTCCGGAGGCTCCCATCCTGTGCATCACTGCTAGCGAGACCAACCTGCGGCAGCTGCTTGCCATTCGCGGCGTCATCCCTATCCTCACCGCGTCCTTCCAGGTTGGGAAGTCCTGTCTGCATTGAGCAAAATCTGGCATCGAGCTTCGGGTCTTGCTCAGGGCACTGACTCCGTCATAGCCAAAGCATTGACGCGTGCAAAGGAGCACAACATGGTAGCGGACTGAGGCTTCAGGACGTTTCGTTTGGCACTGGCACTTCGGCCAGGAGTGTTCCGAGAGATATTGAAGAGTTTTTGCCTCGCGAGGTGAAGTCTGGTGACATCATTGTGGCTGTACATGGCCAGAAGGACTCATGAAGGGCACTGCACTTCGATTTGCGTAGGGGCTGTCAGCAATGCCCTCTGCGAGGAAGAGTGTCCTGGAGCTTCGAACTTGATGAAGATGGTGACGGTTCCATGAGACAAAAGAGGTTTGCCTTGGGCCTTGATTTACTCGGCCCCAGTAAAGTCTTGTCAACACTGGTTGAAACTTTTCCAGCTTGTGACAGCACTCCGGAGCAGACAGGTTTTCCGTAAAGAGTGCCAGAGCTGCATTGATTGCTGCGGAACTAGGAGAGAGATCTCTTCCATGCGCAGGGAACAAAATACCGCGCAAGGAAAAATCAAGCAGACTCACCTCGACGGGATCTGTGCTGGAGATTGTTGAATCTTTCCATGTGGTTTCCCCGTGCTCCGCCGCCACACAGCTCGAAGCTACGAAACGAGGCATCTCGCCCTAGGTTTTATACGTGATTGGAGAGACGTAACCGTCTCTGTACAGTTTCTTCCTGGTCCTTACTCATACTACCTACAGTTCCTTCAAACATCAAACCCATGCCTGACATGACTCTGATACACAGTTTAAGAAGTCGTGGCCCAGCTCTCAGCATGCCACCGCTGGGCGGCAAGGACTCTCGAATGCATCGCCATTTTCAACCCACAGTAGGGAATGACAGGACCCGAAGGGACTGTACCAGACACTGGGGTTGGAATCCAGTGCCAGCGAAGCTGAAATCAGGCTACACGCTTGAAGACGTTGTGTCCAGAAGAACCGTGGCACTCAAGCTGTGGCAGGAAGGCATACAGGCGGCTTGCCTTGAAATACCACCCGGCCGGTGCCTCAAGGTGTACGCCGCAGGGCTGCCGCGGATTTCTCTGGCTGACATGGGCCACCATGCAGGACAAGAACGCGAGTCAAGATGCCACGGCCGAGTTTGCATCCAAGCTGACGGTGTGCATGCCAATTCTCGTCAACGCGCATGAGTCCGCCCAGAGACTAACTACTAGGTTCCAGAAGATCGCTGGGGCCTACGAGGAGCTTGTCTGATGCCAGTCTTGCCCGGCAGACTGCCTTTCGAGCAGGTGCTCTCAGATTCTGAGCGTCGTAGCATGTACGACACCACAGGCTGTGTTGACAGCGAGGACAGTATTACCTTATGTGTAGCTGTGTCATTCAGACCGAGAGCAAGCCGCCTGCGCAGGAGTTAGATGATGAGGAGGGTCCGCCCCACAATCGCTGGCGGTTTGATGTAGCAGGATTCTTGAACCTTGCCGCATCACGACCTGAAACAATCTGAGCCTAAGGTCTGCTGCATGCCGCGAACTTGTTCACCACTTTCTTTGGGGGTGGAATGGCACAGGAAGCTCTGTCACCATCTTGTCTGCTTGCTGCTTCGTCATCGTTAAAGCCTCGGCTTGCACCACAGTGCCATCACTTTCTCTCTCTGGCCGTCACGTGGATACAGCATGCAGACGTCCTTCATTGAAAGCAGCTCGAGGGTAGCAAGCTTCAGCCATGATCGGCTCGTGGCGTATTTCACCGTGCAATCCAGAATTCTGATGTGGCCATATGTGGCCCATGTCCACTTTGCGTAAGCACTTCGTTGTCAGTTGTAGCTTGCTTGCCCCCTATTGTCTTGGGCCGATCGACATGCACAGGCCATTGAGTTGCCAATCTCTGAAGGGTTCGGGGCTGTACAACAGCCGTCTTCCGTTGTGTTGCTTTGGCGTGCGGGACGACTTCTGGAACGGCTCCTGCTTGCTTTAAGACTTTAAGACATTGCGCACAAAGCAAAAGCTCGGGCAAACGCACGAAAGAGTTTGTGCTCTGAATGGTGTGGGAGGTGGGGTGCAGCAGACATCATGGTGCAAAACTGTTCCTGTGCAGCGATGCACCTGCCCACCATGTCTGTTTCTCTCTCTCTCTCTCTCGGACTCGGTTTCGATGCATTGGATTGCTGATGGCCTTCATGGGCCGGTTTTTGGTCAGAGGGTCGAGCGTCAGGATATGGATCCGGAGGAGCAGGCCAGGACCTTGCCGGAGTGTGCAGTACTTCTTAAGAGGTCGCTCAAGCCGAGGCCCCTCGTTTGGCAGGTGCCAAGCTTTCGTCCCATCGGGGTTTGACAGCCGTACTGTAAATGCTGCAAAGATTTGTACGCACATGCGACAAACCACTGAAAGGACGCGTGCACATCGGACTGACAGGCAATCACAATCCCTCCCTCAACCACGCCTTTGACTAAAAATCTTCCAGCTTGCCTGGTACCAGTCCAACAGGTGCAACCTTTTCATTTGGAACACAATGCCGCAGCAAGGCTGAGAATTTTCGCTTCTTGTTTTGTTCGCATTCGACAACCGTGGAAAATCTCTGTCGTAGCACTTGGAGATTCCTTTTCAAACAGCGATATCACGGTTTCACGTGCTGTTCCGCAAGCTTGCGATGGTGTCATCGAGCTGTAGAAGCATCTTTCACAAGCGACGTTTGACTTAAGACTTGCCGCAGCATCGGTATTCTTACGATTCCGCTTTTGACACCGCAAGGCTTCACCGATCTGCAAACTCTTCAAAATACTGCTGGAATGGTGGCTTTGAGCAGGAACGTAGGGGTGAAGACGCTGCTCCTTGTAATACAACTCCCAGTGGATCCTTCTGTCAAGCATGAAACTCAGCGCAACATGCAGGAAATGAAGCTTACCAACGTCTGAGAGCTGGAAGCTTAATGACTCATGCCAGGAATGTGCGATCGAGTCCAAATGGTTCACATCGCCAGACCATAAAATAATAAAGCAAGCAAAGCATCAATGAAAACGATGCATCACTTGCATTTGCTCACCACTCTGCTGCACCAATAAACATGCCAAGAATAGATATCTGCAAGGACGCTGGCAATCGATAAGCCCGCCAGAATCCGATCACATGACTAGTAGAAGCAACCTCCAAACGAGACAACATATAGATCAAGGAGGTGCTTGGGGGCTCGGATGATGAACCCACTTGAGCTCTGTGGCTTGGCGCGCTGTCCCAGAAACTCAGCAAGCAGCGACATCATCAATTCGTGGGCGACTGATTGAAGGATGAAGATCCCCTGCATCCAACAGAATGCATAGCGTACTTGGAGGACCCTCGACAGAAGTATCTTAAAGTCCTGAAATGATAACGAAGTTAGAGGCGAAACTAATGGAGCCGGCTCTTCAACCGAAGCCGAGAGCGGCTGAAATCAACACTGACACATTTTGCAAATAGGTCTGGAGCCTGTCGGATCTTTGTGTACTTTCACTAGGATGCGACATGTTCCGGCAGTTGCCCGCTCAAAACTGCTGCAGAGGAAAAGAAGCTTAGCTTTAGCTTTCGATTCGAAAGAGCTCCTGAGGTAGCCAAATTCTGCAGCAATGCATCGGCGCAATGCTGGAGCTCCCCAATCCGACACAAAATCAGCCTCTGTGATCGGTACATAGCCCTTGCAAAAAGTTGCAGATTGATTTGCTCGACAATCCAGCACTTCACAACTATAGCATCACTCAGCCCTTTGTCATAATCTACAATACTATCAAACCACGTTTGAGTTGAAATGCAAGGCTTGGACTCAAACTGAAGCTGATATCATCATCCCTCAATGTGAGGATCGTTTGACGTCTGCCAAGGACTCTTCACACGACACCGGGAAGCTGATGTTGCATGGATCTGACATACTTTCTTTGCAGAAGCTGCCCCCTCAACTGCCCCAAACCTTCAACAATATTTGTTGCAGAAGTCGGCTTACAACAGGGATGAGGTTGCCACCCTCCGCTAGATGCAGAAGGACATACTTCGGAAGGGTGAACATCTCCGCAGGGACCGCGTTGTGAACACCTTGTCTAGGCTTGCCTGTGTCACTTGGGAATGGCTGGAGCTTGAAGCTGGGACGATCTTGGACGTGTGCTACACATCCATTTCTTCCCATTTGCTTCTGGCTTCTGGAAGATTTTGCTCGCACTTTTGTTGTTGCTCTCTAGCAACCTCTCAGCATACTGTGCAGCACGATCTTCTCATCAACATAGTGTTGCTGGGCAAGCCACGCATCCAGTCTGTCGGCAAGATTTTGTTGCAAAGCCGATCTGGCAATCAACTCATCATAAAGCTGACACGCTGCTCTGGATGTTGTATAACGAACTGGATACATACACTCTTTCGCATGACCTGCCCTCATGGCTGCCCTCGAATCGACCACCGACAACTGTCCAGCACTCATTCATGGTTTGCAGTTGGCACAGCCCCGGCCAAATACAGTTTTGTGAACTGCCATTTCAAACCGGCTCCTGGATTGAAGCGTCAGTGCACGGCAACTTCTTCATCTAGCCTTTGTGCTTCTCAAAGAAGTTCGGTTTTGCCCATGCGCTGGGAAGATGCTTGACGTCTTTAGCAAACTCATCAACAACATGATGCAAGCCAGGATCAATGCCATCTAGTAACTCCCTGGCTTCGTGAAGAATCTTTGCTTGCGGGCGTCATTGGTGGCAATAGCTTCTGCACGGGATTGCGATGGCTTCATCTCCCGTTGGGCTCATTCGCAGCTGGCTCTGAAAAGCAATTCCACCCCACTCATTTCTGATTATCGTAGACGTCCAGCTGCCATGAAACCCGGCAAACGAAAAGGAACTGGAGTTCTAGGCGCACCCTATCGCTATGAGAGAAGCCCGAATGTTTTTAAATTGCAGTGCAACCCCGACCACTTGCAGGCGCAGCCCCTAAAATGGGAATCGCCATGGCAAACGCCTAAAGTCTGCAAAGCACCGCTTCTTAACAGGTCGCTCAAGCCGAGGCCCCTCGCAGCTTGTTTTAAAGCTGTCTGGCAGGTGCCAAGCTTTCGTCCCATGGGGACTCGTCAGGGCTTGACAGCCGTAAACGCTGCAAAGTTTGTGCGCACATCCAACAAACTGCTGAACAGGACGCGCGCACATCAGAAGACGGCGATAGGGCAAAAGCGCGCATTTTACCCAGAGCGTTCTGCAATGTGCAGGTTCTGTTGGACGAGCTCCTGAGAATGACTGGCGCCTTCAGCTTCAAGGAGCTTGAGTCGGAGCTTGAGTCAGCTCGGGATCTGCCACACTAGAAGTGCTAGCAGGCACACAGCTCAAGGCCGCGGCGCAAGGTGCCGTGCACAACTGCTGTTTACTTGTCCGGCCACTTTGGCTGTTTCTGCAGGGCCGCGGCCGTAAAAAAGCTGCTGGCATGTCGATGGAGGAGGCATGTCCGAAATCAGTTCTCATTAAGATCTGCGCATCACTCTGCCACCCAGATTTTTGACGATTCCGGTCCCAAAGATTATACATGCTACGGGCTGCCCGTGGTTGCTGCCTATCATGGGTGAGTTGCAGGCCTTCTTGGCGGCTATGTCAGGCACGGATGGTTCTATGTGCCATGTTCACAGTGGGTCGTTGCCTCTCTGCAGGTATGCCATCCTGCGAAGTGACTTGTCCGTCAGGGCGGGAGCTTCAGCGCTTGCCCGACTCCTCAGCTCACCACATGTGCTCAAGTGCAGGCATACACTCAAAAGGAAAAAGGCAGACGGAGGCTAGCGCTTTGATTACGTTGTTTTCCTTGCACTCGTCTGTTCATGCAGATTGCAGCGGCCAGGCTACGAATGTGATGTGTGCAGCAAGGACATTCCCGACGGAAAGCGCTTCTTTGACTGCCGCAAGTGCGACTTCAGCATGTGCATTGCGTCATCGCCTCATGTCAAAGGATGAGTTGACAGGCATCCGGAATATGAGCATGGCCTGATAGGTGCCACAAGAAAGCAGAAAGCAGTGCAATGGCGGAGGAGGAGGAGGCGAAATGGCTTGACTCTTCAATCTGTTGTGAGTTCGTGTGCGGGAAACTCACACCACGGACCAGGACGACACAGACGCAGAGGTCTTCGAAGCCTTCTGTGAAGCCAATCTGCATCCCGAACGGCAGGCTTGGCCGAATAGTGAGGAATAGTGAACAGTGCATTTTTTCTGTGTCTTCTTGTGCAGTAGTGTGGTGCCGCATACCTCAGGGCGGCAGGCTTGGGTTTCGTTGCGCTCTCTGCAGACTCCTTCTGGATTCACAGGCGGAGGTGGGAGCGACAGCATTGCTTTGCTGAAGTCGCAACAATGCCTCGTATGAAGGCTGCGGCTCACCTCGCAGAGGCTCACGCAGCAGAACTTGAGGCCAGATTCGCCACTGCAGTTTTTGCGATCTGCAGCATCTCTTTGGGTGCTCCGAAAAAACCACATCTTCCCTGGCTCGGGGTCGGGCAGCGTGGAGTGGGTTGCAGGGTAGCGGTGACTATGTTTGTAGCATCGACAATGGCCTTTGTCTTGTGTTCTTTTGGTGCCGGTTTGATCTTGCATGAGTTGCCACCGAACACAGCTGCCTTTTTCAGGCTGTCGCAAATGAAGTTCGCTCTGAGCTTCGAAACGGTTATGGCGGTCACGGCACATCTTCTTCAGGACAGACTCACCTCACAGCATCATGAAGACTTGACCACGAAGCTCCAGACTAGGATATGGTCGTCCGCCAGATGACTTTGAAGCAATGATTTTCGGGGCTGCGATGGAGGCTCGTTCGCGAGTTGCAAATGAGCAACATGCTGTGTGCCCTTTCGCACAGGGCATGCTGGGGGGATTCGGTGACATGCCCTCACCACCCAAGGCCGAAGCAAAGGTCGATTCAACCATTCAATCTTTGGCAAGACCTCACGCTGCCAGGGTCGGCGAGCTCGACGAAAGCGTTGAGATCTCGCAAGCGTGAGGCGACGAAGGCGACGGGCGAAGCAACCTCGGTGCCGCTCAGCGCGAAGTGTTGTACAGCGCGCGCGCCTTTGCCGAGCCAAGTCTTGTTGGCTCTGGATTCCTCTGGGCCAAGTTCGGCCACGAGCCAAGTAGCTTCGAAGAGCTTGCGCCAAAATGGGGTGTTTGCCAATGTTTGCTCAAAGAAGCGTCCTTAAACTTTAAGCCATTTTAAGCCTGAAGCTTGAAATGGCTTGAAATGGAAGAGACCAGCTCGAGCCCCAATGTCTTCCGTTTCTTTCGGCTCAGTCTGCTGGAACCGCGGCAACTCCGGGGCCGCCGCCTCAAAGCCAAGCGACTCCCAAACAGATGGTGTATTGTGTACACGACATCCTTGCGGCTTTCGCCTTACGGCTTGAATGTGCGGGCGGGGAGCAGCGTCAAGGCAGATGTGCGGGATCCCATGGGTGGCAACAGATGGGGCCAAATCCTCAGCAGATCCCTGGCAGAAGAGTTGTGTGCTCCAGCTCCGGCTCTCTCAGGCGATGACTCAGGCCGAGCAGTTGGTCTGAGACTGGTGGATCTTTCGATGGACATCTACCCAGGTTACGGACGAAACAAGGGGAAAGGCGGATCTGGCGCTGCGTCTCCTTCTCAGTGCGAGAGATCGCGAGAGCGTGGAGAAGTGGGAAGATCCTTCAGGCCCACCGAGCTAACCAAGCCATGTCTGAAGCTCGGAGGACCCTGCGATGGCAGAATGGCAGTGATTGTTGCCCGTTTGCTCTGAGGCATTTGGCTTGGTGGACTTCCCCGAGAGATCAGTGAGAGTGAGGTGGACTCTGTCTGTTGCAGGCACAACTTTGGCCATCGAATCCAGCTTCGCCGTTTTGTAGAATGCACGGCCCGATCCAGGTATGGCACTGTCTCGGACATCAACATCAAGCATTCCGACAGGGACACCTTCGTGTTCGTTACCTACGCCCGCCTAGAACATGCTCAGGTGCACCATGGGATCTTAGCTTCAGCACATTGCCCCAGGGATGAGTTTGGTCACCACGGCCGTATGCAGGATGCCATCCAGGGACTTGATCAAAGCAAGTCCTTTGGATCTGGCATCATCAAGGCCCGGTGGGCTTTAAGCTGCATCTGCGCTACCTTAATGGTTGCCCTCTTTGGAGGCAGCTCCGGCTACTCGACGCGAGGGTGGCAAGGGTGTGTCTTGGCTCAAGTCAGAGGATCCCCGTTCCTGGAATCACAAGAGACCGACTGTGGTCGGCCATCTTGGGTCTTCCGTCCTCATCGAAGCCTTTCCAGGACAAGCCACGAGCATCTGATCGGTCTGAGCGGTCTGATCGGTGGGAGGAGGTGCATTCAGATTTGTTGTCACTTGAGTCTCGGTCCGAAGCGGCTGTCTGCTCTGTGTCCCCCCTTGTCAGACGCGACGAGATGATGATAGACGTGGCTCCCGTTCATCCCTCTGTCAGTTTCAAACAAGCATCTAGAGTAGACGGTGTGAAGCTGCTGCGGTGACTCCAGGTGCTGACGATGTAGAGCGCCGGGATGGGAAGGGCAGAGACAAGGGCGGGCGCGACAGGGACTGGCCTTCCAGCGACCGTCGCCGATCACCCAGAAACGAGTGTTGCAGCGTGTGTGTGTGTGTGTGTGTGTGTGTGCGTGCGACCTACGCTCGCGCGTGCGCACGCACGCGCTGCGTGTGCAGAATGCCTACTATGCATGCATGCGTGCATGTCCGTAAGTATGTATGCATACATGTATGTATGTCACGAAAGCTAGCTCTGGAGCTTGCGGGTTGTCGTTTCCCAATTCACCTAAACTAAGTAGTGGTGACCCAGGTCAAAATCGTGTCTAGGGTCTAGGATTGTATGTGGTGATTTCACATGGGGTGAGGGGTGGGGGGTCCTGCCACCACGCAACGGATTGTTTCAGAGGCACTCACCCCCCCAGCCGCATTGTACAAGGTTGCCCCCCCTCTCACCGGGCCCTTGTCTAGCATTTTTAGCCTGCTCCTGAGAATTGCGCACGTGTTGTCTCGACCCTGCAAGATCGGCATTAGTTTTTGCAGCAAAGTGACTTCAAAGATATTGCCGTACTGCGGACGCACTTGTCCATCATGTTGAGACTGCTCTTGCGTTGTCTCGACCCCGCAAGTTCGGCACGAGTTTCAAGCAGCAGTTTCAAAGGCAGTTGGCGGCATGGCGGCTTTCGTGTCGGGTGACTTTTCAAAATATTGCCGTATTACGGACGCATCTGCCCAGAAGTTGCCAGCTATTGCGCTTTCTGACAAGCTACACTCTGCACAGTGCCATATGCGAACCTTGCAGTTGTACACGCAGCTGCGTGTTGCAACCTTCGCGGGGGCCTATCTGCCGGCACATGCCAATCAGGTTGCTGCTTCTTTGTCTTCTGCAGGTGAATTCTCAACAACTGTCAGCATTTTGCAAAGACACTGGGTTGCCGCGACTCCATTGCCCAACGAAGACGGCGACAGAAGTGCCGTGAAGCAACCTGGGACGCCAGATTGTGCACCTGCAAAAAGGCCGCCCAAACGTACCCCGTATAAGCTGTTGTTGCTGTACTGGCCCAAGCAATGATTTCGAACATGTGCCAGGCAGAGATGTGATTGAGGAGAAGTGATGTAACGAACTAGCACGAACAGCATCCATCTAGGTAAGGATGACTGGTCTGCAAGCCTGTTTCCGGACAGTGATTCTGCCAATGCGCTGTCGGACTCCCGGTCATCAGGGGGAACTTGGAACATTTGGTACACCTTGACTACATCTGTCTTTACTGGTGCATGAGCCTTTAGTCACTTTAGTCCCTGCAGACTCCACGAGAATGAGGCCCCAATTGACATGTTTCCCACTGGAAGAACCACTGCCCTGGTGCAAGCTCATACGAGCAACCCTTGTTGATGCATTCAGGTAAAGATCCATGTTGTTTGCTTGGCTGGGCAGCTCCTTGGAACCCCAGGCCTAGGAGCTCAGGAGTAGATTCACTATCATCAAATCATCAAACATTCTTGTATCACAACCTCCGCTTCGTGTCTTGAGCCATGGCAAATGATCATATCCGATATCCACTTTCAGCAGCACCCAGAGCGCGAAGGAGCACATCGAGAGAATGCAAGATCTTCGCCTCCGTTTTCTTTTCCAGATTCACCATATATTGCATTGTCTTTTCATGAGCCAGGCCATTTGCAGCAAACCATGCGGCCCTCTCAAGACCCATCACATTGCGCGTATGCCCTCGCCTGCACAAAACAGACCGCGCACCTGGTACACTTCCCTCACCCTCCATTTCAACACCGCCACCTCCACCGCCTCCACCACCATCTGCACCTCACCCACCAGTCCCACCAATCAACACAATTGCTAGTCGACCTGCACATCCGACTCACCCACACAAGACCTCAAAACCACCGCCACCACCTGCACCTCCAGCCCAACTGTTCCACCACCACCCATTGCATCTTCACCCGCACCCACACCGCCACCACCGACATCCACACCCGGTTCCTCTGATGGAACCTTGACAGCAGCTTTGCTTGTTCATACTTTGGCACTGCCAAAATGTCCGATTTCTGCTTGTGATCCTCAGGGAGTAGCAGCAGCTTTGGCCATTCGCGAAGCAAGGCTAAAACAAGATTCCCTCGACCATGAGTTCGCTGAGTGTTGAACTTTTCCGGATTTCCAACTGTTCAAGTTTTATACTGGTCGTCTTGCATTTCTTGCAGCTGAAAGCAAAGCTTGGATGAATATTCCATGTCACGAATTTACTGGATGTGTCAATTTCTTTTTGCATCTTGTACAATGCCCGGCTCCTACTTCAGTTTTCTCATGGGACATTCAGCCTCCGGTGCTCGTCAGCTTCCGTCAAGCTGTTACTACAGTGAAGCTTCCGTGTGAGAAGATATTTCACAAACCTGGGAAAGTATGGCTTCGCAACAATGTCATTATGTGGCAGATTGACGCTGACAAGTTTCCAGGCCCCTCGCTGTCTGCATTGGGAAAAGGTCAAACTTTTTTCCGCTGGTGGCATGGATGCTGTGAAGCTTCTCTACTGCGAATTCAAGATTGGCAGGGTTTTTCGTACCTGCAATGAGTTGTCGGCATGAATTTATACAGAGAGTGCTTTCGGACCCGGTTGTTTGGTCGTGCTGCATATGGAGGCGACGATGGCGTGGCTGCAGATTGACTGCGAAACTTGCTTATCACAGCAAGAATCAGTGCGGTGTCATTGTGTCCGAAGTCATGAACCCCCCTCATCGCAAGTCTCCGTCATCCAACATGTACATGGAAGTACAGAACCTTCGAGACTTTGAGTTGATCAAATCTCCCAGCAAAGACAAACGCTGGGCCATTCGAGAATCCTGTGCAAAAATCTCGAGATTTTGTTTGGTTTCTTCTGTAATGATGAACAATGGGGCACGGAATGGTCTGAGTTGCTTGCATTGGAGCCTGCATCCTGATTGCAGTGTGTATTGGTTTTGTTTTTGTTGCCACATGTCGCTTTTCTTTTTCTTCCGTAGTCATCTTCTCAAGCGCAGCAGTTTACGGTATGTCACAGTAGCGTTCAGCCTCCTAGCGATCTCATTCATCAGGGCCCAGTCGTGGTGGGGATCATCATCGTGGGACTGGAAGAACGACGATGGATACAACAGTCAACCTTGGAACAACATGTGGAAACCCACCAAGATTTCCGTCAAGACTACAGATGTCAAGTAACAAGACTGGCGCAGCCCAGTTGGATTCCAAACAACACACGGCCTCCGTGGGTCCTTTGTTCAGAGCAAGAGCCACTTGGGCTCTCGCGAGAACTACTGCAAATCGTTGTTACGTAAAACCGCCCCAACATCTTGGAGCTCAAAGTATGGCTTGGCTGGACAAAGCATCGAACAGCTTAAATGCGTCGGCTTAGTTTTGCGAGGGTGACACAACCAGCATCTACGTGCCTTTTCCCGCGGAAGCTATCTGAGCTTGATACTAGCTAGGAAGGCCAATGAAGCTGTTTTCTCACAAGCCGTTTTTTTGTATCATCAGAGAGAAAAAATGGGATTTGGATGACCTTGCCCATCAGGTTTGCAAGACACAGAGTGTTGTGGAGTTTTCCAAGTTTCACCCCACCTCGACGAAGTCAAGGTTCATAAGGCTCACGCCCTTGCAAAGTTCGTTACTGATCAGTTAGAACTATTTGCTTCCAGCATGTTGTCATCTTCTGCGCCTGCTCAACAAGAAATTGAGTCCCTGCGGGCACAGCTTGAGGCTGAGAAGGTTCGGAACAGAAAAGCTTCACAAGGCCTGCTGCAGCAACCAAAACGACGACGACTGAGAAACAGGAAGCACCATTGCCTTTTGTTATGCAAGATGATATTGTGGATCGTGCTATGGACCCAGAACGTCCTGGAAATCGTGTCCTACTTAATCAGAACATTGGACACACCAAACCAAGCATCAATGCCTGGGTCCAGCGATTTTTGTAAAACGATTGGCGAAGGCAAGCACCAAGAGTTGATGCAAGCATTTGCCAAGCTCCGGAGATTCTTAAGGTCCTTCCGAAAGATCGCATCGAGCTTCTGCGTGACAAGTTGTCTCACCTTGGATGCACCATTGCTTTGGCATCCAAGATCAAGGGTCCAGAGCTCATCACAGTGCTGTTAGCTGCCACTCAATCAGCGACATCTGACTAGGATCAGATGAGGATGAGCTATTTGCCGACAACTCTGGAATCTTGTTACAGGGCCTGATGATCTTACTACATGTTGTTTATGATGTCAGTGAGTATATTGCATTACGTTTACCTACCAGAATATTGGCTGCCTATTTTGGTACATGCAATTCTTCGCAGCAGTTGCCGTGCAGTGCATATATGTTCTTGGAAGCGTAGATTACTTCATCTACAAGGCCTCACTCTTTTGCAGTTTTCCGCTCTTTTCGAATCCAGCAATACAGTCTACATCTTGCTGATGCCGCTCGTCAAAAAGCGAGGATGGGATTCGCAGTCAGGAGCACTAGTACAGCGCCGAAGGTTCTACGTTCGGTCAACATCTGTATCTGTTCATTCTCGACAAGATGCTCGTCGACATAAATATGGTCTTTTGCAATGTGGTGACTTTTGCAATGCCGAGCTTATGCTGCAAGCGACCTTCCTGCTGCCATCATTGTGTCACTTCAAACTAGTGACAACCGTATTGATGCTCGATCCACTGAATACTCTTACATTCATTCATGGAAGCCACAGTTTAATGCTCCTTGGATTGTCAAGTTCAATCCTACATTAACAACCATTTTCACTCAGCCCGTCACAACTTATGGACGTCCTGGGAAGCGACTGTGGCTTAAAGTTCGTCGAAAACTACGCACTTTAGCTCTCCTTCGATTGTATGAGAGCACCTTTCTTGAGCCTTGGACAATAGAAGAGACACAGGAGCGCAGAATTTCACAACCGTCAGATCAATGCCTTATTCCGTCTTTGCAATTTGCTAGATGATCCTCCCCAAGCAGCTGTATGATCTTTACTTCGCCGCATTCTTAGATTTCGGCAATGTGCAATTCCTCAGGGCACCAGACCATTGGTACTACCTTTTGCTGGCACACGACTCGTTTCAGAAATCAGTTGAGCTATGGGTCAGTGGTATTATTGTTGATTCCAAAGACTACATGATTCCGTTTCACCTTCCCCACAAGAAGTGCGTTGCAGGTAAACATCGGTCACTTCGAGATGTGATTTACAACTATTGCTTTGGCTGAGTCATGGTCCTGGGATTCCCCACCTGCTTGCAATTGTGATGCTCTGCGTCAATAACATCCTCATGCAAACTTTGTGGATGGACCTTTGGCCTCGCCGTTGTCAACCATGACATGTTCTCAACGTCTTCAACGTCTGTTGCAGTATTCTATGGACTTTCAGCTGTTTCCCAACTTGTATCATTACATCAGCTCTACCTGGCCAGTTGTTGATCGATGGCTTCGTCATCATAATGTGCTCACTGTCATTCCGAGTGACTGGCACTACTTCGTACAGCAGCAATGGCCTCAACACAAAGCTGTATCCTTCAATCGTTTGAAGTACAACGGTGCAGTCTTTATAAAGAACTCCCTTGCGGGGTTATTCATTCATTCATGGGCGAGATCATCCAATCACACATGGTCATGCATTCTGCCAACAGTTCGTTTGGCAAACGTACCAAATTACCGTTGCAGATGCAGCTGTATATCAGCAATTTCCTAAGCAGCCGTCTCAGGCGGAAGTTTTGCTACGTCACACAACCGCTCGATCTTTGTTACGCGGAAATGAATCGGGAACCAATCTTCGTACATCCAGTTTAATTGCCGATTGCATACTTGCTTGTCAAACAGAAGAAAGACTTCAAACGTGCCAGGCCCATTAATGCAAAGCTGTTCCGCGCCACAGCCATTGCGTTCGATTTTTATTCTCCCATCTACGTGTCCCAGATCATTTGGCCTCAACACTTTGCCGGGAATTCTTCAGCAGCTTACATTGTTTCTACAACAACTTCCTGATAATGCCAGAGTTGTCGTGTGCAATCAAGAACTTGTAGATTCTTCACATCCATCCCTGTCTTTCGGATTCTGAATGCCGTCCGATGGGCCGTCAACGAATATTGTATTCTTAAGAACGTTGACATAGCAACTGGTTGGTTTTCTGTGGACCTTCGTGACAAGACACAAAGCTACGTATCTGGCACGGTGGACCCCGAAAAAACAACAAAAACACACACTGTTCTTATTCATCTGGCAGACGTTGTGGACATCTATGAACTCAGCCTGCGACGCAAGTGTCCTTACTGTTACGCATAAAGTTTTTCGTCAGTGCCGAGGAGCTACGATTTGTAACCAGATTTCCCCCATGCTGGGTGGACTTACTGTTTCCGTTGTTGAGGAAGAGATCTATGTACGACATTTGCAAAGTTTCTGTGATTCCAACAAAAACCTTTAAATCTGTACTAGGTATGTGGACCAAGATTATTGAAGATCGATGGCTTCAACACTTTCTCAGCAACAGCTTTTATCAACATCCTGGTGAACTTGAACATGTCACTAGTATCTAAGGTAAAGATGCTGTCGAAGAGTTCCTTGGTATTGATCGTCAATTAGACCATCACCGACTTCAACTTTTGCAGACCATCACCGACTTCAACTTTTGCTTTGACCTGGCCTTTGGAAGATTCGAGAACCCAACAGTGGAGGGCCCGAGAGACATCGAGCTGCGTTTCATTGTGGGAAAGTTCATATTGAACGACATGTTTGGCCTCCTCTATTCGTGAAGCACAACTGCATCGTCTTCGACAGAATTTTATAGCTGCTGGCTACATGCCCATTTGAGCATACCTCATGATTCATTGTCTGCAATCGGTCTGTTTTGGCTCATTTTTTAAAAACTTGTTAGAAACACATTTAGCAGCCATGCGAACCGAGGGGTGGGATCTGCACATGACCCCTTATTGCCAATCAGTCGGTGGATTCAATACACCCAAGCTGCGCTCCAGAGTCTGCGTGCAGATTTAAGACACCGACACGAAGAAGATTTGGCCAACTTGATTCGCTCCAAGTTCAAGTCTGCGAGTTGGGTCAACAGCAATCAGAAGTATCCTAACAACTTACAAAAGTTGCGAGTGCTGTTACAGAACTGTTTCACCAATTGGAGTCGTGAGCGATACTGTAAATCGAGCAATGAATGATGTCCTGCCTGATCATCATAACTTTGATGCCTGTACTACCGGTCCTACCGGTTGCATGTGTGTGTTTGCGTGTGTGTGTGTGTGCAAACCCTGTTTCGAAGGATGTAGGCGGCATTGGTGCTCAAAAAAACAAGGGGGGGCAGTGAGCCTGCTATCATCCACTGCCCAACGAAAACGGTGATAGAAGTGCTGTGAAGCAATCTGGGGCGCCAGATTGTGTACCTGCAAAAGGCCGCCCAAACGCACCCCGTATAAGCTGTTGTTGCTGTTCTGGCCTCAGCAATGATTTCGAGCGTGTGCCAAGCCGAGACGTGACAAAAGGGAAGTGATGTAACGAGCAACCACAAACAGCATCCATCTAGGTAAGGATGACTGGTCTGCCTGTCTGCGCGTGTGTGTGTGTGTGTGCGTGTGTGTGTGTGTGTGTGCGTGTGTGTTTGTGTTTGTGTGAGACGGGAACTGTCGGTTTCCTGTTAAGGCGATGCTCCTGATCGTCGCCGGGAAGATCCATACACGGGCCGAGGAGAGAGGGACCGAGACGACCGTGGCAGATACGACGATCGCGATCGAGGTAGCTACAGACCTGCGGACTACTATGACCGCAGTTTCTCGCTTGATGGATAGCTTGCTGAAACCTTCAGTTCATTTCAATTCTCGGCCGTCGGCTCATCTCCACCTGCTTGGCTCATAAGGCAAAGATCAGGGAAAGGGCCGAGGCTCAGGATATACGTACGAGGACAAGAGTCCCGCCTTTCTGTTTTACTTGCTGTGACACGTGGCAGTGCTGATTCATGAAAGAAAGCGGGCATGCTCAGGAGCGCGGCATTAGCGAGGGTGGCCGAGGCTACGATCGGCGTGACGACTATGACCGGCGGCGTGGATACGAGGCACAGTTGGGTCTCACAGGCAACCGGCAGAGACAACAAAGCACATTCAGATCTTGCAGAGGATCCACCTCGGCGAGACGACCGAGACAGACCCGACAGGCATTTGCACACGAGAGCGTAGAGCGTCGCCTTACGGATGTTTTGCGGTCGCTCCTATCAGGGCGCCACCACCGCAGCGAGGCCGCGACGATCGCAGAGTCGAGCGTCGCTCGGCAGTTGAATCGTTTTTCTCCGTTATTTTTTTGCAGCTTTGGCTTGAGTTTGAGCATGGAGGCTGAAAGGTCCGTAGTCCGAAGAATCCCTGCACAGAAGCTCCTGGAAGCAGGCAGAGAAGATTAGGCAGGTCAATAGTTTGAGTGGACCACCGAAGTAGGAATGAACCAAGCATCTCAGTTGTTCGCCATGATGTCTCTAGTCTTGCATGCAACCACATCGCCTGGCGTGTTACTGAACGCCTGGAGCTTCCAGCAGGAGCCCGTGGCGACAGTAGGGACGGTCGACGAGGCCTTGGGCTGCTTTGACGTATCCTGGGCAGACTTGGCGGGAGCCGGCGAGCTGTGTAAGAAGCATGACTGAAGGATGTAGGAGTACAGCTTGTGCTTGAGGCCGACAGTTTGACCGTGCAGATGTTGCTGGTCGGAGAGATGACCGAGGTGCAAGCTGTTCAACAATCGCAGAGGTGACAGACAGACCGACATTCACAGTCACATACATCTTTCAGGCCCAGAAATTGAAAACATTACGCAGCTGAAGCTGGACCTGCATTTTTGATGAAACGCACGTTTCGCCCACGTAAAACAAACGTTTCTGAGTTTGAGTTGGTGAAGGGTACGAAGATGTTCGTGCTGGCACATTCGAACACTGTGTCGGGCCGTGGGTCTTTCATGCGTGTTTTTTCTTCGAGGGCGTAGCACTTCGGCTTCTTTGTTTATTTCAAGGTGCAAGATGTTCGACAATGAGGTTTGGGGATTTCAGGATTCAAGATGTTCGGGCTTTCACTGTCTCGGAATTGGAGGTTTCAGGGTTCAAGGTGCTCAAGCGGACTGATTTTGGGGCTTGCCATGCTTGTGGCGCTTTTTGAAGTGGAGTTCGAAGGGTTGAAGGTTTAGGCCGCACTGCTTGGTGGTCTTGAGTTTCAGGCTACAGGCTTTCGCCTTCGAGTGTTCTCTGGTGAGTTGGGACTTACGCTTTCAGGTTTTCGGCCAGAGAAGGTAGAGCGTCGGCGTTTCAGGCTTGCAGGGTGTGGGTCGCTACTGGGTAGCAGAAAGAAGGACGGAGACCTTCCTGAAGCCGAGGGGAAGGCATTTGTTGTGCAGTGCACGTGCGCACCTGGCGACAAGCATGCGGAGCGTTACAGCGTCAATGCTCGCTGGCGCCGCGCATCTGAAGCCCCGAGGCAGAGAGATATTGTCGCTTAGCCCACCTCTCCAGGTTGTCAGCAGCGCTGTTCGTAGAGAAACTTCGGTTTTCTTTTGCAAGGCCGAGCAAGAACTGACTAAGTGCCAGAGCTTGTGCAGACTGCCCATGCACGACACAAGCCTCCGGAGAGAGGGCGAGTCAAAAGTTCGTAGTGTGAGCGAGCGAGTAGCTAGTTCTCATTTCCGTATGCTCGCTGGTCTAGGTGCAGGGTTCATTTTAAGTTTCGGGGACGGGAATCAACCTGAATTGCAAGAAATGCAGCCGCCCGCGAACCCGCCGGGGCGCGATTTTCACACGGCGCTTTGCCAAGGTGTCTCCTCCATCGAATGTTGCACAATCTACAGACATCGGCAGGCTTGCGGGAAGATCCCCCGCGGGGGGTTGGAGCGCGGGACACTCGAGATGTCGGTCCGCGGCATGTCCATGTCTTACTTAGTCTTATCTGGACTGGCATGTTTGCTCACTCTCTCTGTCATTGTTTAGTCCGAGGACAGAGATCCAATTCCAGAGCGACGTGGAGCATACAGACCGGCGGGTGTCTGCCTGAATGAATGTGTAACCTTGTGTAGCGCCGGGAGCTGTTGTGGTCGAGGTCCACCCAGAACCGACGACGGTCGACGAGCTTCACGTTCACCTCGAAGAGCTCCAGCCGTCTGGTGCTCAGAGCGCCGCTGCACAACAGCAGAGCGAGCGAGAGCGAAGCGAGCGGAGCAGAGTCGGCCAGTTTCCGAGCCCAGGAACGCGGAGCCAACGTTCGAGTAAATATATCCAATCTTCCTTTCGACATGGAGGAGGCAGAGCTGAAGGAGCGACATGTCGCGTCGCTTGTCAGAAAAGCCCGGCATCTCGAGTTTTGGCAGGACACTGCGTCTACGTACGGGAAGGTCGCTCGTGGCATGCTGCAGCGTCTAGAGGACGGCTTGTCTTGACAGGTGTTGGCCTTGAGCGTTTTCGGCGAAGCAGACAAGCCAAAGCACGGTTGGGTGGCGATCCCGGCTCTCTCGTGCTCGGAGATTGTTCATCAGCTCCCTTGCAGGACCCCTGTGCTTGCCAAACACAAACTCAGAGAGTTGTGCGCTCCTAGGTTGAATATGCGACCCGGCGCGAAGCTGAATACGCTGTGACCGAACTGGATCAGAGGTGGAGCCATACAGATATTAGCCCACAGTGGGTGCGACCATTACTGGGGAGAGTGGCAACAATTTTTGGACGTTGGTGTGGGCAATTGGCCGAAGCCAGCGACGAATTGAGCATCCCTTGCCCGTGCAACCTTGTGCAACTGTGCGCTTTTCGTCACGGGCGGCGTTTCATCAAATGCTCTTAACAGCAAGGTCGAGTTCCTTCAGCGAACTAGGCGCATGCATAGCCGATCCAGGATCGCTTCCTCTATGTGCCTGTCAATGTGTCACGTGTGTCCAAAAGCCGTCTTCCACAGACCAGATCTGATGTACTTTATCGCCATTTCTATGGTATGAAGGTTGTCAACATGTCTTGTTGGTCCGCTTGGTCAGGATTGGACTTCGGACGAACGAGTATTCTCAAACACCCAATATTGAGGAGCCTTGGTATGCTGTTGACTTCTTTGAACAGCAGGAAGATTCTCAGCAACTTGCGATGCATCAGTTGCCTTCAATGATTGATCTTGGAAGCTATTCCTGCACACGAAGGAGCATCGCGGTATGACTGTATGTTTTGTGGTTTCTCAGAGCGTCATGTAAAGGGCATGCGTGTCCGTAGACATGCAACAGATCCACCGATGTGGCTGGGTGTTTGTGCAATCCGTATACCTTGCCCGTAGACAGACAGGTGCATTGCGTTGAGCAGGTCAATGGCGGAATGGCATCTGCTACTTCGCGCTTACATTGAAGCTCAGGCAGGAGATAAACGTCGCATTCCTTAGCGTTTAAATCTTCTCTTCTCTCAGTCCAAGAGAATATGTTGGGATGCGCATTCTGAAAGGATGCGGACTGGGTCCTTCGTATGATACCATGTCCACATTTTTATGTATGTGCTGTCGTAGCTGGCTTTAGGATGGCAACTTGGGATTTACAACTATTTTCGCAAACAGCAGGCAGAGCGAGGGAGTTCAAGTTATACAGAGGTGCTTGGCATGTTTCTGAATGCTTGTAGATACTGTATGCGTGTCCACATAGCTGGTGAAGCTGCAGTACATGTGGCTGCACCAGGACAAGTTCAGTAGCCAAGTATGCCAAGTCATCGTGGAGTCTCATCTCTCAGGATTGAAGGAGGATTTCGTGCTTGGATTTCATCAGCCAGCAAAGCCCGCGAGAGCTATCCGTTCTCTTGATGTGGGGCGTCGAACCGAAGGCTCAACTTACAAGCTGACGCGTTTGCGACAGTTGGACTGGGCAAGCAATTCGTGACACTGTGGTAACTGTGGTACCATTAATTCAGTGTCCCATGGCGTAGTTCATTCTGACATGGACGAAGCAGCCGTGCTCCCGTTGGATGCAAGGAACTGGGACAGTGATCGGATGCATGATGCGTATTTACAAAGGCGGATTATGATGATTGTTAGGGCATGTTACCCGAAATTATTTGGGATGGTTTGAATGGCATCGACATCCAGTTGGGCAGAGGAACACTGTTCGAGAAGTCCGTCGTCTGGTTTACCATGTTTTTTTCGGATTGGAGGTGAAGCTTTACACGGCCCCACCTAAATTCAGATGCTGGCTCTCACCATTGGAGCTTCATCGTGGCAAATATCAAGGCGGAGATGGATCGTGGTAGCTTTGGGGCGGCGTCCTAAAGCCCCATGGACGGGACCTTGTCTTCGAGAGCACAACTGCACGTACTGCATGGAGATGTATGCAGCAAGACACATGAACATGCGTGTAGGACCTAGTAGGGCTTAGGACAACATGCGGATGATTCCGTTTTAGTTAATCCTTGCATGGTGCTGGAGGCTCCGACTCGCGACCGGCGCTAACAGCAGGTCTGCTCAGTTTTGAAGTGCTAGCTCAGCGGATTCCGATTCTTTTGATGGCAAAGGAGAGCTCCAGACATGTCGCTCGCGAGGCTGGGAGGGAGCATGAAGACCGATGAACCCATGAACATGTTCCAAGATGCAGGAGAAGGTCTCATCCTGAGAAAGACTCACAAGCGATTTGTGACTCAAAAAGTGGTTTGCAGACGAGCGGTTCAGGTCTGGCCCTGCATGCAAGCAAGCATGCAGCCAGTGACACAAACGCACCAAGCTTCGCAGTGCTTCTGGCTCACATCTCAACATCCCTCCTCAGCGAGGACGCGGACGGCTATGCTAGCTTCTGTACGGATCGCGCTGTGTAGCACTGTCAATGAGTGCCAGCTTGACTAGCTGACTAGTTAACCGCGCACCTGTGAAATATCGCTTCATTTGCACAAGACTGCCTGCTCACTCGGGCTGAAAGCCCACTTGCAATCCAATGCGTGATGAATCCTGTGCGCAGCCCTCGGCTGGGAGGTTGCCAGAGCTGTTTGCCTGCGACTCGCGCGCAGGCAAATTACGCCCTGCTTTCCGACAAGTCTGGGTCTGCCCGGGCATTTAATGGCAAGTCCGGGTCCCGCATGGCGGCTTCGCATGTCAGGTAAGGATGCAAATCCTGCCATACATCCGCTGTGCGATGCTAAGCTGCCGTTCTACGTGTAACTGCGAGCACGAGCATATCATCGGGATTTTGTAAGGATGGCTACCTCAGCGGCGGGTGCAGGCAGGTTATGACGCATGATTTGTCACATGTCACACCATGCCCCTTCGAGGAAGACCGGCACCACACCCGGTGAGGGTTGCGGAGCTGGCTCAAGGGAGCTTTGTGAGACTAAGCTTTGCCGCCTGTGCCTGCCTTTGCCCTCTCGTGGCCAGACACCAGCTCCTGTCAGCGGGCGTCAGGCACATGCAAAGCAGCTGCTTAGGCACTTTGCAAAGGGAGTCCTTGACCGAAGTCGCAGGCGCCGGTCGCGGCACCTTCCCAGAGCGGTTCCAGCACACCGGGAACGACCGCATCCACCTCCGGCCGAGCGGGTTCCACGGGCCGCGTTCAGGCGAGCTGCCCGAGTGGCTGAGAGTCCCAACTTCTGTGGAGCAGACTCTAAGCTCAGGCCAAGAATTCCTTAGAGACCCGACAGTGGCACCGTTCCCGACTCAGTTCGTGGAGGACTTTGCTGTTCACAGACCCAGAGCATGGCTGAGGACCGGTAGTTTTCCCTTCAGGCATGGCCCGGCCAGCAGATTGCTGGGAGTTTCAAGATTGAAGCAGCAGGTTTGCACTTTGCTCGTACTTCATGCGGCTGTCGCCATGTGCCTTCAGCTTGCCACGTAAGATTCTCCGAAAAGGAGACCAAAGATGCAGCAATACTGTACGCGAGCGCGTTGCAATCAACCGAGTTGCAAGCTCTTGAACAGTCCACAGAATCGGAAGCACGGAAGCCCCCGCGCAGCATGTCTCTGCGGTCTGGTGCCAAATTGGCATTGACATGACAAGCATTGACAAGATGCGAATTGCTGGGCTGTGCTGTGCCCCTCAGGCCTCGATGGAGTGCTCATTTGGCTCTCTGTGTCCTTGGATTCGCTTCACACATCGATGAGGCTCCGAGGTTTTGGGAGAGCTCTACTTAGGCCTTAGGCCGCTCACGTTTCTGAAGATGCCATTACTCACACCAGTTACTAGTAACAAGTATCAGCATTTCAAAATATTCAAAACCAGCTTCACAAGCATGAAGGCCCTTTCAAGGCCAAAGGTTGCTGCTATCCTCATTCGGTGAGCATGCTGCAAAAAGGGATTACACGCAGAGTGCAATCAGAGATGTGGGAAAGCGTTTTCCTTGCAGGGACTGCGCGATGTTTAGTAGCCATCAGGAGTTCTGGTACAGAGGATCTCCGTGGAACAAACCAGAGCCTGTGCCAGGGCAGCCCCATCATCGGCATGTTCTCGCTACCAGCAGATCCGCATCCTCCCCAGCTGTCCTTTGCTTCGGAGGGATCCTGATGGAGCCTGCAACGTCAGAGCTCACTGTCAGGCAATCCTGTGGCTCGTCTTCCTCTTGCGAGGTGCCGCCATAAGAATGAGGACTGGACACGTTGCCGTTCTGGCATCAAAGGCCTTGCCAGCATCATATGTGCGGTTCATCGAGTCGGCTGGTGGGGAGGTTGTGTGCGGCACCTGGAGTGACGTTCTCGATTTGAGGAGTACTGCGTTCAACTTCAGAAGTCATTTCGTCAGCTGCATGCGAGGCCAGTGAGGTCCACCACAAGCGATGCAGAGGCGCTGAGAAGACAAGATTGGCAAGTGGTGGCAAGTGCCTAGAGTCCTGGGTTGCATGTGCCATCATGTGCCCAGATGGCTGAGCTCCTGCACTCACTGAACGGTTTCTTGTTCACAGGAGGTTGGGAGAGCACCTCAACAATCGCAAGCAGTGCAAGCAGGCGTTTCATGTGCCGAGGGCAGGACCTGGATCCTCCGCCGGCAGCGCTTCGTGTGCTGGAGCACTCCAGACGGATGTTCGAGGCAGTTGAGGTGTTGGCTTCTTTCAACCCGAGAGATCTAGTACTTTGCCACAGGCTGACCAGACGTTTCCAGTCTGGGGAACCTGCTTGGGCTTCGAGTGGCTAGCATCATTCTCAGTCCTCAGCTGTTGCCACCCTGCTCTGGTGGGATCCATCTATTGAAGGTTGCGGCCATGTCGCCGAAAAGCCTGACTCCCACGTTCAGGCCGATTCAGTATCATGATGTATCATGGCAGAGTATATGGGGAAGGTGACACGTTGAACCACAACTGGTCTCCATGTTCTATCTGTTTTCGACAGGGCCGAGAACGTGAACCTCCCCGTCCACCTGCTGTTTCGAGCCCAGCACCGGTGTCGCAGAGCAGTCCCTTTGCCTACCCGGCTTGGCCCACCATCCACCCCCAAGATCTACGACTCTTGAAGGCCAGACGCTGCCACGTCACGCCTCTTTGCACAGGCCGGAGAGCTGTGCGAGACGGGCTTGTAAGCCGAGACTAGGCTCCATTTGGAAGATCGGTTGTGTGAAAGTACAGTACTGCTCAAGCCAGCTCCAGCATTCAACAAGCTTCACAACATCCGTGGCGAGACTGCCGGACTACCAACGACTCTAGAAATACTGGTGATACAAGAGCCCGAAGATCTTTCTTGTCCAGCATCTGTAGACTAGAGCGTTTTGCGCAGACCCGTCTCTTGTGTCGAGGGAAGCTTCCAGTAGAGGCCGTCCCGCAGACTAGGACAGGATGCAATTTGCTACGCATTTACCGCTTGCTGCGCTCGATGCATTGTTATCAATGAGTCCTCGCAGGCTCCGACCAGGGTGCTCAAGGCCCGCTTCTTTTCGTGCTACTTTCCGGCCTTCTTCCTCAATACCTCTTCTGGCGTAGGCTCTAGAGTTTCAGAACGTGGCTTTCAACTCGCACCACCGGGGTGTGTCGCCAGCAAGAGCCTCGTGGCTTGGGGAAGTCTGGGTGCAAGTGTCGTGCTGGGCTTCTGGAACAGATCACTTCGAGGACGTGTTCAGCATTGTTCAACAATGCTGTTCAGTGTGACGGGTTGAGGAACAGGCTGCTTATTCTTGCATTGCAGAAGACACTGCTCTAGTGTTGCTGGCCCAAGACTTCAGGTGTTTTGCAACTCGACGCCATGCTTCTGCCTACCCTGCTACAATTCTTTGCGGTTGTTGCTGTGGGACCTGGAACATGCGAGCGCCCACAAAACATGTCATCACCCTTTAGCCCTGCAGCTTGGCTGTATTATGACTGGCTTCGCTGGTTTCGAGCTTTTCCTCCTTGTTCCTTGCCAAATGATGACAGCTAGGCGGCCACATCCATGGTTTACAGCCCCTTGGCTGGTCCATTCTAGGGCAGGCATGCAAAGAAGGTTCAACAAACGGTTCCATGCACCCACGCACGCATGCATGCACGCACAGCCATGTAGCTGAAGAAGATGATGATGAGAACGAAACTAAAATGATATGGGGCGGTTTTGGTGGCCGGTCGCAACGTACTACCTGTAGAATACCATGAACTTGGGACCCCCTGCATCCCTGTCCCAGGAGACTACACACACTATCACAAACACGAGACTCACGAGACACCTGGGGTGGGCGGTAACTCATCAGTCAATGGGCTCTAAGTAGTCCACGATGTTACAGCTTGTGAATCCGTTTGTGTTTGCAACCATTGTACTCATCAGTCAGCAGCGCAATGAATCCCTTGTGTTGGATTTTTTTGGCCATCACTAGGAAAGAAGCGTGCGCAACGGCAGCAAGCACAGTAACTTGCGCATGCGAACCTACACATACCGTTGCTGACGCAGCATGTGATCGAGAATGATCGAGAGATAAGCGGGCGAACTGAAATCCTGTCGAATAAATAGTGAGGGGGACTGAGTGGCGAGTGAGCGGAGTTCCTGAAGATCAGATCGGCACGCAGCGCACGGCCATTTGTACACACGACACAGCTTAGGACCTTTGGGCTACTCTGGATTGCGAGTGTCGGTCGTCTCGTATGGTGCTTGGCTTACGGTGTCTGCTTCTGGTTCGGCGCCTTGACTCAAGGTAGTACGTATGGTTTCGATGTTTTCAACCAGCACATCTCATTTTCGCGGCCTCGGTCTCGATGGCCAGGTGACATTAGAGAAGCATGCTGCCGGGCTGCAGTGGTTCTGCGGTTGAGACAGCTAGACTTTGAGTCTGAGAGGTCGACATTCTGCGAGTTGCTATCCGTGCTGGAATCAATTTCATTGACAACGCAGAAGTGTATGGAGCATATCCCGGAGAATCCGAGCACATCATGGGCCAGGCTCCAACCTCAGCCCCAGCCAGGGAAGCTAGAATGAAAGGTCTGGCATGTTTAGCAAATCAGGGGGGATGAGCGCAACAAGCTGCGGTCTAATGTGAGTTTGGGCTGCGGTATGCAGCACTGAGCAGCATCGGACCATCTCGGACCAATGCATTAAGAGCCTAGCAGCCACAGACAGAGCTAAGTAATCTGAGTGAAGTGGACAACGGTGCTTGGCTGGACTCGTTCTCCACACTCTAAACGAAAACTAGAGTCTGGTTTTTGCCGCGAGGCATTGGAAGTCCTGTTCGAAGAAGGGGAGGTGAGGCGATCAGATTTGGTAATTTCGACGAAGCTGTTTGATGGAGGAGATGGAATCAACGACCGCGGCTTGTCGCGAAAACACCTCGTGGAAGGAATGCAAGCATCTCTGAGACGAATGAAGCTCGGATACGTGGATCTAGTGTTCTGCCACCGGCCGGATGTGACCACACCTATGGAGGAAACAGTCCGTGCAATGAACTACCTCCTGGATCGTGGCTGCTCGGCGTTCGACATGCTACACTGATGGGTTTTGGGTAGCAGCACTGTTTGGGCTGCTGCTGTGAGCAATTTTCTCGGCGGCTAAACAGTTTTTGAATAGTATCTCGTTGTCATTCTGACGTGTGTTGGCCAAGGCTGGGCGTTGTATTGGGGAACGAGCGAGTGGTCAGCAGCGCAAGTGCTGCACGCGCATAGTGTTGCCAAGGAATTGGGCTTGCAGGGGCCCTTAATGGAGCAGCCTCTTTACAATTTGTTCAACCGTCAGCGTGTCGAGATCGAATTCGCGCCACTGTATGGATACGGACTTGGCTTGACAGTTTATTCTCCCTTGGCTGAGGGGATTCTCGCGGGCAGATATAGCGGTGGTATTCCCACGGACAGTCGGGCAGCCGTGGTGGAGAGGAAAGCTAGTTTAGCAAGACAAGAGCGCCAGATTGCAGCTGCCGAGGCACTTCGGCCCATTGCTAAAGAACTTCACTGCTCTTTGGCGCAGCTGGCTCTGGCTTGGGTTCTGAGCAATGGCAATGTCAGCACTGCCATCATCGGAGCATCCAAGCCCTCGCAAGTTTTGGACAATGTGGCTGCCATTGCCTGCCTGTCTCGCTTTGAGCAAGATACGATCCAGAAGATTTTATCAACCGTGTCCAATGCCGGGGCAGCACCTGAGATGGGAACGAACGACGACATTTCTGCGATCATGGCGGCAAAGAAGCTTGAAAAGGCTGGACGGCAGCCACTTCTCTGACGGCTTGACCCAGTGGCGGGCTGCTGGAAAAAGCTGTCCAATCCAGGTTCAAGCAAGGGTTGCGATAGGGTTTCAAGCGGCCCCGCTTGTGGTCGACAGGCCGTCATGTTACTGCTCCCGGTCTAGTAAGTCTAGTAAAGTAGTACGTAGTACCAAGGGCCCTAATGTGCAGCTGACGAGCAGGCAAATTCGTGAACGCCAAAACGGTCATTTGTGCATGGTCTGAGGCAGAGTTCTTGCGGCCTGAGTTGAAGGACCTGAAGGCACAAACAAGTGAGTATGGGCATGATACTGGTTGGGGTGTCTGTGCTTTCAGAGCTGTCGAACAGGACGAACATCGCGATTGCCTGTAAGCGTTTTCCTTCCGCGGACCGTTTGCCTCTGCAGAAAGACAAGTTACTCACACGCAAGAACTGCGATCATACCCATCTGCGCCCAGGGAATGCTGTCAAAGAAACTCTACCGCAAGTGTGGTATGTATCTTGGTAGATGCGGTTTTCTGAAAAGAGTCGCTGATGACGGCAGGTTCTGGGCACGAGTTTCGACGAGGATGGCCAGGATTCGGCATCATGGCTTTGCGTGATGTAGACAGCAGCACGGACGGAAGCGGACGACACAAGACAAGCATGACCTAAAGTCCTAAAGGGTGCTTGGCCCGCCAGCTGGGCTTCGCAGAATTTCAGAGCGCTGAAGCTCAGCAGCAAACTAAGCGTCCATCATTCTTGGGGAAAACCTCAACCTCACCACACCCAACACCCACCTGCCACTTTCCTTTCCGTTAACGTACACGCCAGACCGCAACCACGGTACGAGCCTGCAGCCCTGCACCAGCTTCTTGCCATGCCATCGCAATACCTCATACCCCAGCACGTGTGATGCTACGCTTAATCTGGATTGCAGGAGTTCGCCAGTGTGATCGAGGGTGCCGCGGGCTTGCCCTGGCTGCAGCCTCGGACGAGACAGGTGCCGCGCGATTTGTGCACAGCCTGTGCCTGCAGCTTAGGTTTGGCGTGCAGTTCCATCCGGAGAAGAATGCTTTCGAACATGGCCAGATTCCTCAGGGCATCGTGCAAATGCCCGATTAAGCTCGTGGAATGTTGTGCTGGATTTAGGATTGCTCCCTGATGGCCAGCCAGCGACGGCAGCGAAACATGGGCCAGATGCTGCAAACTCAGCTGGATCAGCTACCCGGTACCCACGAAGCAAGTTGAAGCTCGTCTTGTGCTTGCGCGCTGTCGTGCTGCGTCAGGCCATCGCCACAACACAATTCTTTGCTAACTTCTTTGTGCAGCAGGCCTTGCAAGCACATGCATCCTATGGACGTTAGAATTGCATCTGAAACTGTGTGCCGCCGGAGCAGACGATGATCATAGACAAGAGCATTTGTAACCTGGAGTTGTTGTGCGTTTGTGCTTGAGCCAGAGACCCGCCTGGCTGGACATGACGCCAATCTCGCCTGTAGCCCGTATGGTGGATTCACTAAGACTTCTCAGTAGTTCTTGCCCCCACCCCATCCCCCCCCCCCTCCGCCCCTCCCTTGCTTGGGTCTTTGTCTCCCGACTTCTACCGTTACTGCCTTGGCCTTATTGCTATGGCCGGTTGCGGCTTTGCCACTGCTATTGATTGTTGTTGCTTCCGCTGCTGTCGGCTTCTTTCTTGTGCGTTCGTGCTACGTGCTACCGTGAGTTCGATGTCAAAACTCCTGGCATTACATTTCTGGACCTCAAATCTAGAGCTCAAAGCTTCGACATGTGTTTTCTCGTAGGTCTCAGCCGCCCATGTGTGGATGTCCCCCCACCGTCAGGAACCTTTCATTCGTCTTGCCAATTTCGAAACCCGCGGTCTCGGAGAGTGAGGCTCTGTCCCAAGGCCCGAGGCCTGAAATGAAACAAGAAAGGTCCAGGTATTTGTTGTTTGATGTCTTTGTGTTATCCAGCTGGCACAATGCGGGTGTTAACACCCACCACTCCCTTCAAAGAATAGGAACAAATTGGGGTCAGAAAAACAGGCTCTGCTCAGGTGGCACAAGTGGAGGGTCTGGGCATGAACGCAGCCTTTGACGTGATCGTGCCCGTGCTGGTGCTGGTGGTGGGGCAGGTGGTGGTGGCGGTGGTGATGGTGGTAGTGGTAGTGTTCTTCAGCAACAGCTGCAAATAGCTGCAAATAGCTGCAACAGCAGCTCCAACAGTCTTCAGCTGACACTGGACACGAGAATCGCCGCATCCATACCTCCCGGGAGCGGAGCTTTACTCGCACGGTTCGAAGTTCGAAGAGAGGGGAAGTCGTTAAGGCTTGAAATTCTCAAGTATAAATCTTGCCAAATAGTGCGTAGATTTCGCATTGGTATCTTCGAGGTTCCGCTCTCTCTATTTAACACTGTTATGAATGAAGACCGGGATATGCACCGGCTTCTAAGTTCCTGGATGTGGAATCGGGGAATCGCCTCGAAGCACTTATGATTGGGTGTGATCTTAGTAGGAAGCACGTAAAAACAAGACTGATCAATTTTGATAAGGGAGGCGAACACGGTTCGTTTCACCTGTGAGATCCTCATGAAAGAGGCAGTGGGGTTCAAGCCAACGCCCCCCCACCGAGACGAAGCACATCTTTGTGAGAAGCACCAGCCCACCGAACATCTGGAGCCTTCAGCTTGTCTTGAGACCGGGCCTTGCATTGCTTGATCACGAATGTTGGCTCCGGCAGGGGTCGCTTCATGTCGAATCAGTCTTGTATTTTGAGAGTATCAGGAAAACCTTAGACTCCTTGCGGTCAAATCAGAAGGATCAAGCTGAACTGAAGCTGGTTTCGGACAGGCGCGCTTGAGTTCCCAGAGCTTCAAATCTGAAGCGGAAGAGGCATGTGGCTTTTGCTGCAGGGTTTGTTTAAGAAGTTGTAGTTGTTGTTGTCGCTGCTGCTGCTGCTGGCTCTGCCTTGATATCCAATCCTGGCACCCGAACAGTTGCAGCCTTCAAGCATGTCTTTAAGCCGCATTGGCAAGGCCAGCCGGCTCATCTACGGGCACCAAACCTCTCGAGTTTTTCAACCTTACTTTGACGAGGCACGTGTACATTACATATTACAGATGCTCAGAATCTGTGAAGCAAGCCAGAGAGTGAGAGACAGCGAGAGACACGCTGCTGCGGTTTTGAGGGACCAGTCGCTGTTTCCTCGGCAAAGGCCAACTTGAGTACAGCCGAGCCTCGGGACGAGTTCCGGGGGCTTAAAGCCCGGGGGTCTTGACCGATCCCTATGCCGGGAGAGAGCGAGAGAGAGAGACCGATATTTATAGATTGTGTGCCTATGCTTTTGTTTATGGAGTGTTTATGCATGCTTGTGTGTGTGTGTGTGTGCGTGTGTGCGTGTGTGCGTGTGTGCGTGTGTGCGTGTGTGCGTGTGTGCGTGTGTGTGTGTGTGTCTGTGGGAACCTGTGTACCTAAGAGTTTCTGATTCGCAAGCCAATACGATAATAAAGCAAGCAGGGGAGAGAGTTGGAGCACAGGGATATTTCCAGAGACCATGCTGGGAAAGCCTTAGGCAACCAAAGAAGGTCCGCAAGAGACGGGGGACAAGACACAGCAAGCAAACCGTGAACCCAACCAGCTCGACGGCAGCCACCATACCAAAGGCAACTCAGCGTGTACCCGCCAGCCGGGGGAGCCGCCACTCGAGATGATCCTGGTGGGGGACAGACAAAGAAGCCACAGGAAGAGCATGGGGCAAAAGGACGCAGTGAAGATGCGAGCCGTGGGAGAAAAGAGCAGCTCGACACCGACACCCCACCCGACTGGGGACGGAGGAGGCTGTGCCGATGCTGGGGCACAACTGGCCGTGGGGGGAACTCGGTCGTCCCTCGGATGGCGGAGATAGCCCAGGTCATCTGGCGCAGAGACCTAGTGAACCCGGGGGGGACCCACAACCTCAAGAACGACAAGACCTACCTGGCGAAGACGGGGGGCGTGTTCTCCTGGTTCCTAACCCACAGCGGCGTGGCGTGCAGCAAGTCCAGGAACAAAGGCACGATGCCGTGCAATGAGGGAAAAGCAACAAGGGCGACCTTCTGTCTCCCATGCAAATTTTGGTCCGTGGACGCTCTTTGGTGCCGACCGCCATCCGACAAAAGATGCAGCAGCTCTCTGAGGGGGATTAGGTGTGAACTTTAAAGGGCTCGCTCGCCCTCTTCGTTCAACCCAAGTACTGGGCCACATTGCCGGTAATCTTCGTGTCTTTTGAACTCACCTTAACACCCGCAACTTCAACGGGGAACTCGGGTAACAGCTAGGGCCTCAATTAGTCTTTCGTTCAACCTGTGGTAGTTCTCAAAACCTGCTCGATGGAGCGGGGGGACATTGTTGCATGTTTTTGGCCTGGCATCCCAAACAGTTGGCTCAAGGTGTGTGTGTGTGTGTGGCAACCCTGTGTCCAAGGGTGTTCACGTCAGCAGTTATGTACATATCCCAGCAGGGGACCGGGAGGGTAGAGCGGCGATCCCGGCCAACGAAGATTCACCTCTCTACCCGTGAAAACGTACCTGCTCTGGGCTCCTCCTGATGCTCTTGGGTCCGGCACGGCAGCTCGGGGTCAAGAGGATGCCCATTAAGTGGATCGTTTCAATGCCTTCGTGACTGAACTAATTAATCTACCGTCGTGATGCTGCTCTTTGGAAATGGCGTGGGGCCAAGCCGAGAACCCCGATTCCAGACGGTTTCGGCGCTTGTGTGAGTCAGCCGCCGCTTCAACAGTCAGTCAGCGCTTGAGTGGTACAGGTATTCTATTCCCACTCGCACGGTTGCCGCAATCTGCAGAGATGACCGTCATGTTCCTGGTAGGTCTCTTCGGTGTCCTCTTGAAGTTCAGGCAGTGTTGTGGTTTAGGCAGGTTGCTCAAGTTCAGGCAGGGTTACTTCATGCTGTCCTCCTTCGACATTCTTGTCCGCGTGCTGACATGTCAAAAGTTTCCCGACGCGTGGTCGCTCGAGACCTGGGCGTCGGTGCTGGGTCCTCGCATAAATCAAACCTGAATCAACGTGCAGCGTGTAGTCCTACGGGACGGTGGTGTAAGCCTCGGTGCTGCACTCACATCCTCCAAGTTCGGAGGCACCAATTCGCAGTGTCAGCGCTTAGCCTGCGGGGGCACAGTTCCATGATCGACCATACAGCCTCAAGGCATACCCGCCTCTTATGGCACCCACAAGTCAGGCTTCATGCCAACCAAAACGCGATTGCAGCCAAAGCAGCTTCATGCACTCACACCCAAGGATTGAGCTTTAGCTTTAGACTTTTAAGCCTTTTGTGACCATTGTAGTTGTTTTGTTTTCTGTTGGTAAATTCCGATTAGGGCAGGTCTGGTCTCCTTTTATGTTTTTCCTCTAGTAAACTGCGATAGCGCAAATGCGGCTCTTATACTACTGGCTGGTTTTGGTACGTGGCACAGCGGTACTACCTCTTCGCGGCCAAGCTGTACGACCTCTTCGTGGTGAACCTCGTTGGCTTTCGGGGTATCCATCCCCCTACCTGCGTGTTGCGGTGCTGCTAAGGTTTAGGGTTTAGCTG